TAGCTGCCTGGGAATTTAAAATAGCACAACTGTGAAAATTACTGCACGCGCGAGTGCATAAAGCAAAATTTGTGCATTTATTTAATGACACTTAAAAAGTTTTTATTTTAATTACAAGTACTGTACAGTACAACAACAGTAATATTGTTCTATTAGCAATTCGATTTCAATTGCGGGGGCCTGAAATCTTTTATGCTTAAGAATTATAAAGTGGATTTCTTAGGAAATTCCAAGGTTGCGTTTCACTTCCGAGTAACGGGCGGAGGTATGCAGTCTCTGAGTGCCCTCTAGTTCCTTCTGTTTCAATTTCGCCTGCTATTTTATTATTTAAATAAATATATTCTCTGAACTACGAACGTTTTATGCATGTACTGATTTCAATGTCATCGGTATGAATGTTTAAATATTTACAATTGACTAAAACTTTAACTACAGAGCCTGACTTCTTTGCTAACATTTGGCAACAATCTATATAATTTAATATATTTAGGCAGTGAAGCCGCAAAGAGGGACTAAAATTCAATTTTTTCCGAGGAAGCATGCTTTCGTCGAGTCGTCCAAACGACTCACACAAATTCTCAAAGATTGTTTATCGAATTCTGTTGCAACACGGGTAAAAATCTCACAGCTTTTCAACAAGATGTGTCCGCTAATTTCTGAGAAGCTGTCGACGGCTTGTTGTCAGCTTGCTACAAGGTTGTTGATTCGACAGACAAATTCTAGAACTCGTGTATTCTATTTGGAATAAAACATAGTTGGAACACTCTTCAAACACGTATTTTCGGTTAATCTAGAGCTTCAAATGTCCCTATAACAAGTTGTGAGTGACAACCTTGTAGCAACTTGACAAACTAACGACATTGTTACAACTTGCTAACAAGATTACTAAAAGATTGTTCCAGAACACGTATTGTTGACAAGATGTGATATTTTAACGCGTGTACATGGGCGAATTAGTCGTACGAGAAAATGGCGTTCTTTATGAGACCGTTCGCTCCACAGACTAGCTGTCTTCGGATCGAAGATTCCATCATTGGCTGTTAAGACGGACAGCAAGGTCGTTTCTTCTTTTCTCTGTCTTTTTTCTCGAGTTTCAGTCCACTTTGTTCGATCTCTTCATTTTCCAAAGACGTAAGAATTCTGTTGGACAAGAAACTAAATTCAAATTTTGACAATTAAATTCTTCGAAACGGAGTTTCTTGTCGTGCTGTACGAAACAAAATGTGCACTTCGAATAGAATTTGTGTGCTTCTAAAAATACGTACAGTAACGGTTGACGGGTGTGGTCAGAGGGCTGCCCCTGGCCTTGGAGTTGAGCCTGATACTGTAGGTCGAGAGAACGATCACAGATTAAATCTATACAGTCGTCCGACTCATTGTAGATGTCATTGATCGACTGAACGATGAACGTCACTGAACGATTATAATTTCATGTTCTATACATATTTAAAAATATGCCTCACCCTAAAGCCTGGTTTCCACATGGTCGTAACTGTCGCGAATGTGTTGTAACTGTCGAGTCAGAGTAGTGTCGGCGACCAAATGGAAACATGAAGAAAGTCTTGTGGCGACACGCTGGCGACAGTTCACGACAGTTACAACAGTGTTGTCCAGATAGCCTCGAGTTTTATCTCAACGACAGTTGCGACACGCTGACAACAGTTCACGACAGTTACAACAGTGTTGTCCAGATAGCCTCGAGTTTTATCTCAACGACAGTTGCGACACGCTAAAAACGTGTCGTGACGGTTATGTTTTAATGGAAACAGCGAAAACGTCAGCGTGGCAACAGTTTTGTTACAATCAGGGGGGGGGCAAAGGATTTCGAAGGATTACAAGTATTTCGAAGTTAGAAACCGCTTTTCAGCGACTGTAGCGAAGTGCACCGTCGCAATAAATGATGAAAAAATTCAAAACAAAAGTATATTTAAAAACGCAAAGACTAATAGATACAATTTTTGATACACAATTTAGATAAACAATTCAGATATGCAATTATAGATTGTACGTTATTAGTCATTCTAAACTAAATTTCAATTAATGCATATAATAGTTGGTATGTAAAGTTTCAATGTAAAATTTTCATTGTCTTTATTGTTTAATTACTTCAAAGTTTTAATAAGTATAACAGCTAGCAAGCGCTCTGATAAGCGGTAGACGTTCCCCCTATCCACTGATCTGAAATAAGACTGGATAACGCATCTATAGTATACAAAAGTGAAGCCGGAAGTCACTGGCCGCCACCCGATTCTGGGGCCCCACTTTTGTATAGATTTGTATTACAGACGGTAGTTTTTCGCGTTTTTTGCCTTGGCTACGTTTCCGATCGGGCCAATTTTACAATCACAACGATAGAAGCATACAAGAAGAATTCTGAGCAAAAAAATTGGAGTATTATGGCTTTATAACGCCGCGAAACGGGATTTACAACTCTGAAGGAGTGGAGAGCCTCAGACTTTGTTTATCAACACGAGCTCGTTTTGCTATACTTTCATACAAAATAAACTCAAAATATACAAGAATTACTGTTACTGGACGAATATTCTCACGAAATTTGAAGAAATGAAGCAGCTACATTGTGCTATATTGTGAACGAAAGCGTACAGAGGTTAGACTTTGTTTATCAACACGAGCTCGTTGCTACTTTCATACAAAATCAACTTAAAATATACAAGAATTACTGTTTACTGGACGAATATTCTCAGGAAACGTGAAGAAATGAAGCAGCTACATTGTGAACGAAAGCGTACTGAGGTTAGTTTTAAAATACCTCGAGGCTACTTTTATAATTATACGAATTTAATAAGGAACAGTTTTAAATGTCAATTTTGTCAAAAGCATTCCTAGGCGACTTGTCGAGAAGTTTTATATGTTTTAAAGTAGGAAGACAAGTGACAATGAAATATTTTTAATCCAAATTATAAACAACGACTCAATATGTTATTTTAATTCATATAATTATGGAAGTAGCCTCAAGGTATTTTAAAACTAACCTCTGTACGCTTTCGTTCACAATATAGCTGCTTCATTTCTTCAAATTTCGTGAGAATATTCGTCCAGTAACAATAATTCTTGTATATTCTGAGTTGATTTTGTATGAAAGTAGCAAAACGAGCTCGTGTTGATAAACAAAGTCTGAGGCTCTCCACTCCTTCAGAGTTATAAATCCCGTTTCGCGGCGTTATAAAGCCATAATACTCCAAATTTTTTGCTCAAAATTCTTCTTGTATGCTTCTATCGTTGTGATTGTAAAATTGGTCCGATCGGAAACGTAGCCAAGGCAAAAAACGCGAAAAACTACCGTCTGTAATACAAATCTATACAAAAGTGGGGCCCCAGAATCGGGTGGCGGCTGGTGACTTCCGGCTTCACTTTTGTATACTATAGATGCGTTATCCAGTCTTATTTCAGATCAGTGATGCGAACAAACTTACAAACGGACAAACTACAGGTAACAAACAAACTCACAGGCAGAATATAATGCGGTGCCCAAACTTGGGCGGGGCACCGCAATAGAACTCGCTTCGGGTTGGGATAAAACGTGGAACCGGAATGCGGATTCCGTAAGCAGATTCCGGATGCGGATTCCGCATTTGAGGATAAAACGCGGATTCCGGATGCGGATTCCGCAAATCAGGATAAAACGCGGATTCCGGAAGCTGATTCCGCAAATGAGGATAAAACGCGGAATTGCGTAAAAAAGGACGAGAAAAAGAATAAGGTCACAACCGCTAAAAAGCGATTGGCTAAATTTACC